ACACACACACACACACACACACACACACACACACACACACACACACACACACACACACACAACCGTGTGTATCTTTACGTTTTCTAGCGCGTCGTACAATCAGTCGCGATCCCCCCTTGAAGCAGCCGGGAGGACCGGGACCCACTGGTTTAAAGATCGGTGTCTCTATGGCAACGGTTGCCAACCTATATTGTAGGTTTTATATTATATCAGGTAATGTAGATGATCTATTGATCTATTGATCGACAGGTAATGTAGATGATCTATTGATCTATTGATCCACAGGTAATGTGTGCTGTAGTGGAACAGGTGGTAACATTTGTAAGAAGTTGCATTTGAGTGACTTTACATGTGACTAGTTTTAATTACAATTCACCTAGTTTAGCTTTAACAATAAATTAGTTATCCTATTGATCAGTATACACTGTATCTTTATTGATTATTGATCAGTATACACTGTATCTGTATGGATGATATTGATCAGTACACACTGTATCTTTATTGATTATTGATCAGTATACACTGTATCTTTATGGATGATATTGATCAGTATACACTGTATCTTTATGGATGATATTGATCAGTATACACTGTATCTTTATGGATGATATTGATCCTGTATTGACAGTCAGACTGTGGACATATGACGGCCTTTAGCTCGTGTTTCTAGAGTTACGTGTTGTTACGAACACGTTAGGAATTGTTAAAATGTGATATTTCTTAAAGGGAGTTTGGTGCAGGGAGCTTTTAGTTGGATTCAAACTGCTGATATGGATCATTGTTAACGTTTAGTCTCCACTACAGAAACACTAGCTAACTGCTGAAGGCTGATCAGGTTGATTGATGCTTTAATAATGGGAGTATTGATCACTGACAAATGAGCTAGGCCAAACAACAATGATAGCAATCATAAAAGCTTAGTACTATACATATTAGGGCTGTAGCGATACAATTATCTAACGATACGATACGATACACGATATTCAGCTCACGATACGATTCGATACCATTCGATACACTTACATCATTTTCTGAAAGATTTTAAAGGGACTGTGATTTTGGTGATATCTTGTGAGGGTTCCATTGAACTGAAAACTGAAATATATATTCAATATATGGCTCTGACTGGACAGAGAGTCTATAGCTTGTAAAAGCTGGACAAAATGAATCAAAGATGTGGTGAGAAAATTAGTTTCATTTATTGAAACAGTGCAAACTGTAGCTTACAAGCCTTTGACAAGTAAATAAAGTGCAGTATTACAATGAACAATGGAGAGTTAAAAAGTGCAGCAAGTGGCCTGTTCTGAACAGATTCTTGACAGCTTTTTTAGCTTGACACTGGACATATGAGGTCGCTTTCCTTCTTTTTAAACCCAAAGTGCTCCCACACATCTGCTTTTAAGCATGAAGGTGCTGGATTTATATTCGCCGCCATTCTCTTGAATCTCCAGATTGGCAGAGCAACATCAAGGGGAGAGCCACTTTTACGACAACATACCAAGTCACCTTTGCAAATGTGCATTTCTACATATAAATTGGACATCCCACAAAAAAAGAAACAACACAGCCAATACATTTTCAATTAGGAACAAATAAGAATTTGTCTATCCATTTCTCTTGAAATTTCCTGTGCTCATCTTGTATGCCTCGTACCTTTCGTTTTTTTACTGGGAACACCTGACGTTTGCCTGCTTGTCCCCTCTCCGGCCTCTTCATGTTGATTTTCGCTATTTTCACTATTCGCTACAACGCTGTGTGTCTGTCCGTCTGGTTTTTGTGCTGGTTTTTGCCCTTTTTTTTAATTAGAAATTGATCTATTTTGTGCCTGCATCTCACGCTGCCTAGTGGAGCTAACGAAACCTGGCTGCAAGCGTGCACTGCAGTCAAGTGTGAACAATGCCATAAGCGGCCTCGTGCCAGGTTTGACAGTGCCCCCTTTAGGAAACACCTTTAATTAAGGTGAAAGGAGAAGTATAATGCAGTGCAGTGTTCTCTGTATATTTATGTAGCACATTTGAAAAAATGTATTGGCTGTGTTGTTATAAGCCACCATGCGAGCCACCAATTAAAGCTTGGCTCGCGAGCTGCGCAATGAGTATCTCTGGTGTAAAGGGAGTATCTAGACGGGTAACTTGCTAGAAATGCTCTACAGCGACACTAGCGGCTGGCTGACCTAATCGCTCTTCCTGCAAAGCGAACGGGGGGAAATGGGCAGCAAGCAGAGTGCCAGGCGGAACACAGGGGATTTGAATGGGACTTAATGTATCGATACTCACGGCTGAAAAATCGATACTTTCTGGGGAAACAAAATATCGATATAAATCGCAGGATCGATAAAATTGCTCAGCCTTAATACATATAGTACATATACTATACTTTTTGAACAATAATAAATTGATGTTCCATCTGTTGGAAATCTGACCGTAGATCTGTTTTACTTTGTAATAAAGAGAGATTGTATCATAATATTGGAACTTTTGATACAACTGTACATCTTTTGGGGTCATTGTGATTTTTTTACAATTAAATTCCAAGGGAAAATAGTTCCTTCGTATTTTTGTATATATCGTCTGTTTTCACTGCTATGAGCCTCTTTCTTGGGTCCTTAATAAGAATCTAAGGCAACCTGTTCCAGTGAGAGTAAAATCACTGTTTGCAGGGTCAATAAGAGCAGTTTGCGGAGTGAGTTTTGGTGACGTATGGCTCAACGTTTTGCACAGGGAACTACAGCTATTGGTCTAACTTGGAGAGAATTCACAGGGATTGGTTGAAGCTGTGTTCCTGGAGCCGGTCGGTTGTTTCAGGTTGAAGCTAAAAGCTACGTAAACTCCTGTCGGGGGTGTCACGTGTAAATCTAACATTAGAGGATATTTCTCAGCTGTTGTTGAAGCTGAATCGCTGCCCTCTGACTACTACGACTCCCTGCAGTAGAGGGGGGCGTGGGGGGTTATGAGGGGGTGCACGATG